GCGCCAAAAAACGAAAGGTAAGGACGTTTTGCACACAACCATGCTAAGGTAGGGACGTTTTGCGCCATTTACCCTTATTTTATTGAAAAATATTAAGAAAAATAAATTATAATTTTAATGAGACCAAACGGGATTCAATCACCTCTTACTTCAATGCAACATACTGGGAGGATGAATGCCCCACTTAAGCGAGAACGAAATAATAAAGATAGTTGAACAGTAATGACGTCAATGGTATCCTCATATCCTATGAGATACAAATACTGAAATGTGTTTCCGGTGATTGAGAAAATTGGAGATTATGTTAGTGAAAAATATTATATATTTAAGTTTTTTTTAACGAGTCTTCGAAGATCTATAGAAAAAATTTAAAGTGATGATATTTATCGTCACTGATATTTAATATCGTTGTAGATGACATCATTCGTGTCATTAAATTACAAGTTCTATTAAATATATGAATTTATGATTCATTTATTAGGACTTATCACATGTTGCATTTAAACTGGTGCTAAAAATTATGGTTCATCAATAAGAAAAACACTAAAGAAACAACATTTTTACAAAATTGAGTTTAGCTAAGAATAAAATCATTTAGAAAACAAACAATGCGGACATTTGAGGGTTGGTCAAGGTTCGCACTTATTGAAGATAAATTGCAAAGAAATTTAAGTTGGTTTAGAGCTCGATTGGCATAGTTTTTGAAAAGCAAAAATGAGCTTTTGAAATCCAAAAATTATTTTTAGACTCGTTTGACTAATTTTATGAAAGTGCTTCATTTAATTAGAAGAGTTTTTAGAGAAAACTGATCCAATGTGATTTTTTCTAAAAGCACTTTCGGAATATGAAACTCTTTTAAAAATTAGTTTTCAGATAAAATAAAGAAAGCTTCCTCCAACTACTCTTTTACAAGAAGCAAAAGCAAAAATAAAAGTCATGCCAAACGAACTCTTAGACACATTCAAAGAAGATAATAGTTTATATCGGTCAATAATCTAATAGAAAAGTGTTAATAATAAAGTTTGAAGAAGTCAACTTTAGAGCTCTTAATAGAGTCAAAATATTCAAAAGATTGTCAACTGATTACTTGATTGTAACATTAATGGCATGTTTGATCCACATTATTTTTT